CACGCATCTTCAAGTCACCAAGGTTGAGAAACCCTGATCTAAAGGTCTGGGGCAGGGGGAGGGGGGTGTAAAGTTGTTAGATGCCATAAAACCATGCCATGAAAATACTATTGAAATGAAAGACAGTGCCTATAGTTTGCTGTTATCTTTTCAAGACAAAGCCTTTGGAAAGACTTTGTTTTCCCTCTCTGACAGCTGCTTCCTATGACCCTATAAACCTCCATTTGAGAAATACCTTTGGGGGGTTTGGTTGATTATGTGCCAGTGTAAACTCTTAGCAGCCATGGTGTGTATAGACGAACATTCCCGAGAGCAGGAATCTGCTCTGAGCAAGGACGTGTGAAGCAGATTTTATTTTTTATCATTGAAAGGAGTTTTATTTACAGGAAATACATTACAGAGGTAATTATTTTGGACACATTATGTGAACACCTACCTCTCTTGAAAAATCTGTGATGCTGAGAAAGGTAGAAGGAAACATAAGAAGAGGATGACCAGCAGAAAAGTGAACCAATTCCATTACAGCAGTGATGGGTGCACTGTTGGAAGATCTGAAGGACCAGGTTGGGGAGAGATCATTATGGAGAAAATCTGTGTGGTCGTTAAGAGTTGACACTGACCTGATGGATGTAGAGGAAAGAGGGAATGGCCTTGAGGGACAGGAGGAAGGGTCTGTTTTATGGTCAGATAAAAGGGACCTGAGTCTGGGGCAAGAATGTATATGAACATCTCAGACAAGCCCCTCCCTAATTCACATGAAGATAAAGGGAGGGAGGGGGAAGCACATTCAGACTTGCAAGATTCTGTTACTATAGCTTTACAATAAAAGTAGGACTGACCTACATGGCATTGGTTTCCTAGTCTGATCTACCATGAAGGGCTGACAATGGCACCTAATCAATCAATCAATAATAACAGAATCTTGAAAGCCTGCAGAGTTTCTCTCTGCCTTGTCTTATATCAAACAGAATCAAGATGGAGTTCTTTTTAGTTTCTTTCTCATGCTTTTCCCTTTCCCCAAACTGAGCTGCCATTTCACCTCCTTTAATGGTTCCTCCATTCCAAGGTCACCTCTACATTCTTTACAACTGGGCAGGAAATTGGACTAGATGATCTCCCAGGTCTCTTCGAACCCTTACACTCTATGGTTCATCCTTTGAGTCTATGAGGATTACCTTCTGTTCACATATGCTTTTGATACAACTTCAGTTTAAAAGCTGCTTTAATTTACTCTACCATCAATCTCTGGAAAAGTAATTGCTCTGAATTATCTTCCATGCTGTGGCAAGATCAAAGTATAGTTCCCCCAGAGAACCTTGAACCTTGGCAGCTTGAAGATGTGTGGACTTCAACTCCCAGGATGTTGGCTGGGGAATTCTGAGAGTTGACATCCACCCGTCTTAAAGTTGCCAAGGTTGAGGAAATGTGGATTAGATGACCTGGAAGATCCCTTCCACTACAGCAGAACCGATGGGAAGCCAAAAAGGTGAAATGTTTCTGTTCAAATGTTCAGGGTTGTAAGGGAAAAAAGTACAAGGGACTTTCCCAAAAGTACAAGGGATTTTTGGAAGAAATCAATTTGTATATCGCCCAGAGTCATGTGATTGGTGTGGTATAAAAATCCTGCAGATATGTAGATAGATGATAGATAAATAGACAGACAGACAGACAGACAGAGATAAAGATAAGATAGATATAAGATAGAGATAGAGGTAGACAGATAGAGAGAAAGACAGGCAGGCAGACAGACAGACAGACATCCACCCAAATCCACCTGAAGTTTAAATGATAACAATCCCAAGAAATCTTGCTGAAAGAAAAAGTAAATCAGATTCCTCTTCCTTGGGATGTTTTCAAATGGGAGAAGGATGTTCCCCTGTTGGGAGTGGTTTAGCACAGGGTAGGTGGTTGAACCAGATGACTGATAAAATCCCTTCCAATCCATACCTTCTATGATGTTATGATTCTAGGAAGAGACACCAATGAAATATTTATAAAAGTCAACTTTATATCAACAGTTATCATGATCAAAGCCTTAACTTCAATCACATCCCCATCAAGGACCTCCTTGAAGGTTTTTTTCTTTTTAATCTCTACTATTAAAAGGTGGAACATTTTAATTAAGAGGGAAACCCAGAGCCCAGGGCACTTCTAAAAACAATTTCAATTACTGGTGAAGTCAAATCTTGTTGCTAATGATGTGGAGTACTGTACTGACCACCTTTTGATAGCTGACCTTCAAACATGAGAGAAGAACAATTCCTCAAACACCCAATGTGTAGATCCTAGAGGAATCTAAGGCCACAAAAAAAAAAAAAAAAATCAAGTTAAGCAAACATATAATAATTTGTATTATTGGGTGGAAAACCTTTGAGGATGCTTCAGAATCTTTGAACTTGGCAGAACATGGCTAGTGTAAACATACTAACCATGTTCTGCCATGTCCAGAGATTCTGAAATGTCCTTAGAAGTTTCCCACCCATGTGCACAATATTCCAGTTGCTAAGTTGCCTATAATTATTAGAATAATAAGCATGGATAGGCAACCTGATTCCCTCTCATAATTCATTACATGAGCTGTGCTGATTGAGGATGATGGGAGCTGAAGTCTACACATCTTAAAGTTGCCAAGGTTGAGAAACACTGGCTTCCATGTTCAGGAATACCCTTGTGGCCTCATGAATTACTAATGTCTATGTTGTAGGAATAATGCCCAAGTCTCTGAACACAAACATTAAGTCTGCAACTCTTAGATGTCAGAAACAACTGAAGCCTTGCCTGTCCTTCCTGAACCTTAGTACCTTGGTTGTTAGGAATTTCCTGGCTTAACTATCTAGACTATGATGGTTATCATATGCAAGACATTTTGGTTTGAAGATCAGGTATGAATGCTTTCTAGTCATGAGCCTTTTCACATAGCTTCTTCTCTTATTGCCTGTTAGGCCCTAAACTGATTTAGTGTTTCATTTCACTGCAGATGCTGGGAGCAAAGGGCTATGTATGGGTAGTAAAGGTTATTTTACTCTGCTAAAGGGTGTAGCTTGCTTCGGTTGAAAGAGAACATTCAACCAACGATAAATTACATCTCTAAATTATTATTTTTTTTCTCCTTTGAAGGGACATCCCAGCAATTCAAACCATACCGCAGAAATCCTATTTCTTCCTTTGTACCCACCATCCAACTAATCTTTTCTTGAGCTGAATGAAATCTTGATTTGCAGCTCTATAATTGCCAGCTCTCATTAAGAGAGTTGGTCATAAGTGATAACATTATCAACTTCAGTTGGGGAAGCATTTGAAAAACGGCAGAGAATCTGTCCAGAACTGGGTGAAAGGTTTTTAAGAGAAATGTTCCAGAAACCTGACACTCAGTAGGAGGCAATGCTCTGATGTTCTGATGTTCTGATTCTCCTACTTTTGTTATCCTTTTTTGGGCAAACTTCTAGTATTTAAAGCTTTAAAGCAAGGATGCCATAGCAACTAGGCATTCTCCAGAACGGATATTCTAATGCCAGTTGTGCAGACAATTATCTCATTTTTGACTACTTCCTATTTATTTTTCATCATGAAATGGTGGTGGCTTGGATTTGCCTACTCTGGAGAAGCCAGCAGAGTTTTGGGGAGGGGAAACCCACATCTAACATGCATCCCTCTGAAATCTAAGGAGGGCATCTATGTTGGAATGAGGATCGTATTTATGTCTGCTCTGACCTGAGCAATACCAGTTTTAGTGTAGCAGGTTGTTTGAAATCTGAGTAGAATCCAAACAGGCAAGAGAGGAGCAAGAGGTTAGCATGAGATCAATCTAGACTGCACTGTATACTCAAACCAGTTTCAAACTATGTCGGCACAAGGATCCGCCTTTGTAAATGCAAGTTGTATACAAAATATAGGAAAAAACACGTCTTCTCATAAATTCAGCATCCAAGACTTATCTACAAACATAATGTTTCCCTTGATGAAGCCCATGGGATAGTATTCTTCTGGCTTTTAGAGAGCCACAGGACTGGCCCAACTATTAGCTCACACACCATAGTAAACTCTAACCCCAGATAACCAAACACAGTTCTCTGTTCACATTGAATGAGGTGGCCAAACAAATATATCACATAGTGGCTTCAGGTGATGGCTTGGTCACTCAGTGTGCTAAGACAAGATCTGGATTCCCACAAGGGGCTAAACCAAATACTATCCAATTCCAGGGCTATCAAATGTGGACAACCAAACTTCAGGTGATTTAGAAGAGTTAGCCCTTGGCTATTTTTTAGTGCTCACCTTTTTAGTGAACTTTTGCAGCCCAGATCTGATAGATCCAACCAACCCCATTTTCACCTATTCTAGTAAATGGATTAAACCCAGTGCTACAATGAAATAGTTGATTCGGGCCCAGGTTAATGTAGGAAGATTTAGAGATTGACGTACTGTGCGGACTGACTTGGAGTCACTGAGATCGCCAGCTGCCTTAAAGCACAGTAGAGGACAAAAATGGTCTTTTATCCATAGGGTGAAGGATAGTGCCATCATGTCCATTACAAAATGGTTGGATCCTGGGAAGCCTTCTGAATATTATCCCATCAAGACAGAGGCATCTCTTTTTTTCTGCCTTCACTGCTGTTTTTCTGCTTGTTGTTGAGCTTTAACATAGTTTTATGAGTATATTTTGCAACCAATTCTTATTAGTAGTTTTGGACTGGATTGC